CTAAGACACATACTTCATGCCACCCCTGCATAAGTCAGTGCCCCACTTGTGCCACCCCAAGTCAAAAAAGCCTGAAAACGCTCCTGTTCCACAGTTGACTGTTCGTAAAATGTGACTTTAAGTACAGTTAACTTTCAGGAGAGGTTCTTTAAAGTGGAAGTCTTCTTGTTAAAGCAGAGTTGTTTTTAAAAATATATATATAATATAAATAGCTTTTTTAGATATAAGGAGCTGCATGAATTAAACTAAAGGATACAACCTTAGTTTCGTCTGTGCAGCAAAAAGTCAAATATACCTGGTGTGTTCCAGGCCTCTTGAGGGATAAGTGAACAGATATTGTTTCTTTTTTAAAGCAGAAACAGCAGAAACAGCCGAGTCTAAGGAGCAGAAACATCAAGCAGCCTTACTTACTCCCTCTTGTGGCACAACTGAGCAATTTCACCCTAAAAAATAAAACCCATATCCCTTGTAACCACACATTCAAATGTGGCCTTTTTCACAGGCAAATACATAACCCAATGTAGCAAGTCGCCCCCCCTTCCTGTCTATCTTCACCTGTCCTATCAAAATAAAGGCATAAAAAGCCCAAAACTATCAACGGATCAGTGAACGTTTGTCTCTTAGTGAAATTTTCCATCTCACTGCATTCAATTCTATAAAGCGGTTCATCCATTTGTGTGACTGATCCCCACGAGGTCGACACAAAGTCACAACGACGTGGGTTGCGTAGCTTTAAGTCAGATTACAGCTGCTCTAATGTTAAAGTAAAGGTAACGTTGCAATATGTTCATAATCATAATCCATTTCATGTCTTTAAAACATTTTAACTACTAATCAGCTCTTTCTTTCTTTATATGAACCAAAATGATGTTTCTATCTGTTGTCATAAAGCACTCACAGACATCAGGATGCAGGTTTTCAAAGTATCTGCTCTCCTGCTTCAGGTTGGAGTCTACATGGGGAAAAGAGACTTTGTGGACCATGTTGACTCTGTGGATCCAGTGGGTGAGTTAGGACAGTGAAGCAGCAGTCACATGTCTGATGTAATGTCACAGCCTAAAGGTTGCAGTCAGAGCCTTTTAATCTGTGCTAGTGGAGTTACAGATAACGTATTTTTGCAGCCCAGATCTGATGAGTGAGGATGTCGAGCCTGTAGCCAGAAACATATTCACCAAAAGTTCCCAGTGAGACACCAAAAATATATTATTTGGGGTAAAAACGGCTCGGTGGTCTTGTGTATTCTATAATCCAGGGTGTCCGCAGGGTCTTAAAAAGTCTAGATTGTATTGTATTAATGAAGTTTAGATTACTTTTTTCAGTCTTGCTTTTTAAATGTGTTTTTGGGAAAAATTTGTTTTAATTATGCCGTAACTACCAAATGAAACCGACATAGATACTAATTTTCCTTCGTACTGTTTCTGCCAGTATGAACGTAAAACCGGTCTTAAACTGCATTTGTAATGGCCTTAAAAATTCTTTAATTTAACCTGTTGAAAGCTGCAGAAACTCTGAAATCCCACCTTTGTCTCTGCCCTTGAACCTTGCTCATAGTTTTTTTTAATCATTATCAAAACAATTTCACTTTTATTGTTTCAAGAGCTTTGACCTGTTGTTTTTTTACCACTAGATGGCGTCGTCATCATTGATCCTGAGGCTCTGCAGGGGAGGAAAGGTCAGTACCAACCCTTCAACTCACACATTGATTTAAAATACATGTTGGGGGGGTTTATTTGAAGCTCAAACAGGACGCAGCGGAAACAGATAATAATAAACCCACATGAAACCTCTGTGGAAGTTTTTTCTCCTTGAAGTAGCTTTCAGGTTGTAAAAACTATTTTCCTCCCTGTCTGACAATACGTATGTTTTCTGTATCATCTTGTTGCAGCTCGTTATGGAAGATAAGTGATGAAATATTCAAACTCAAGACTCCATGTTCTTTGTGGCTCCATCATTACACCAAATTAAAAACCTTGGTTACACTTGAAGGTTAGTATATTAGCGAATGTTATATAATATGAAGGATTATTTGTTTAATCAGAGATAGGTTCAGCAAAATCACTAAAGTACTGGAATCCTGCTAATTTGGTCAGAATTAATGTATGAATTAACATTCATTACCTGATAATCTATTAAGTGGTAACTAATCACAAAAACTCATAGTGACTTGATCTTTAGTTGTGATTCAACAGGAATTCATGGTATATCCTGCATTAATTAATACATTAAATCATCATGCATTGGTTAAGTATATGATTATTATTATTATAAAGTCTGATCTTCACTAGAATTTTAAATAAAGTTCTTTGGGTTTGAACACAAAATCTGTGGTGTGTCGGCTTAAAGAAGCAATTTTATTGTGGAATTAAACTGTTGTTTCCTTATCACATCTTATTGTGGAGGGTTGTTACGTTGGCTGTGTACTTCGCCTAAATTATATTGTTTACAGACACATAAATAGAGATCAATCACCAAATAGATCACCACATTACCCTGTTCGTAGCCTAAATCAGTCCCTCCAGGATTTTTCAGCTCTTTTTTTGTTGCTGCCTAAAATATCTTATTTTAAGCTTTTATCAAAAATTCCAATGTATGTATATGTATATGTATGTAAGTTTTGAAACTATAATAATTGGTCAAATTTGCATTGATTGGAGAAACTTCCAAGGTCACACAGAAACCTGCAACTTCCTGGATCGACTGATAAATGTTGCAATGCTCGTCCCTTGAAATATTTCAATTACAAGCAAAATATATAAATTGAAATAAAATACATACTTTTAAACTAAGAAGATGAAGATTAATAGATCTATTTCAGCCTCCCAATGAATCCACTTTAAATCCAGGTTCTGTTTATTGATCCTGATCACAGGGGACACTGATCTCTCTCTGATCGTCTCTGTGACTCTCTCTCTGCCCTCCAGCGTTTGTCACCCTTTCTTGCATCTTCCGGTACGGCAGAGATGACATGGATGTGATGGGAATCGCCTTTCGCAGGGAGCTGTACCTGTCAACCCGCCAGGTGTACCCTCCTCTGCAGGACCGTGATAAGGGAGTCCACACCAGGATGCAGGCAAAACTGCTGCGCAAGCTGGGAGACAACGCCTACCCGTTCTTCTTTGAGGTGAGCTGTGACTAACGGGCTGAAAAAAACCTTATTAGACTCACAGGCTGCATGAAGGAGCCTTCACTGATGCTAAAAGACCACAGTGAGATACAAGTTATGCAGGCACTACAGCACTGGTGACTGTATATGACAACAAATGAGCAAACACTGCAAATTTAAAATTGATTTCTTGTATACATAACCCTAACTTTTAAATAAACCAGATTCTAAAAGGAAGACATATTCAGGAACTGCGTGGCTTATTTCTTGCTTACAGAAACACATTTCGGTGACCACTTTAACTAATATGAGAAAAAGTTTCCTAACTTGCCAATCAGTTGCAGCCAGGAAGTATTTGCACAGTTGTGGGAGGCTGTAGCCTTTCGTGACCCTTCAAGTCCAAAAACACCATGTGGACACCTACCATTAGCATGTTAGATCAGATCAGTGGCGAACTCATCTGCATTCTCTTTCATATATTGACTACTGACATTATATATTTTTGTTTCCTCAGTTTCCTGACAACCTGCCGTGCTCCGTGGCTCTCCAGCCGGCCCCCAGTGATGTCGGCAAGGTAAGTTCCTGACTGAGGAATCAAACCAGTACTGATGAAGTGAACACATCACAGGGTGGTGACGCCTCTTCTCTCTTCTTCTGTAGCAATGTGCTGTGGAGTTTGAGATCAAAGTGTTCAGTGCTGAGAGCCAGGATGCTAAAATACGCAAACGGTGAGTCTCAGCTCCTCCGATTACCTTCCAGAGTCAGTATAAGAAAATAAGTCTCAATCAGACTTTGATTGTTTTAATTATTTCTTTGTCCAACAGGAGCACAGTGAAGCTGATGCTCAGGAAGGTCCAGTACGCTCCGGAGGGCGAGGGAGTGGCGCCCACTGTTGAAACCACCAGGGACTTTGTCATGTCAGATAAACCACTACATGTCAAGGCCAGTTTGGACAAAGAGGTCAGGAAATTTCTTCATCTTTAGCTTCACAACACACAACAAGATGTAGTGCACTGGTTACCAACATGGGGTCGGACTGCCACTAGGGTGGGTCAAAGCTTTACAGGGGGCTTCACTCTCTAATAAACAGCCTCATCCTACATTAGAACAGTTCAAACAATAACAATAGAACAATGAGAGGAAAACACTAAATCTGTCAAAAATATAAGCCTTTTAAGTATATAAAAATATATATAACACAGACTGTCAAAGTGCGTCCACTAACAGTTTGTTCCACTAACAGTAGTTGATGTTTGTTCCAATAACAGTTGTTGTTTTTGTTCCACCTAAACAGTAGTTGTTGCTTTGTTTCCATAACAGTAGTTGTGTTTGTTCCACGGTAACCGTTAGAGTAGTTCTTTCCATGACAGATCAGGTTGTTGATTGTCAGTGTCTGACAGCATTATGGAGAAGGAATTCGCCCTACGAGATAGGCCTTCTGTGTTACAGTTGTGCAGGCCTCTGCCACCAGACTCCATTGACTAAAACAGTAATTTTACCTCACAGAACTTGGAGTTTCTGCTCTACTGCAGCCTTGATTGGTTAGTTTGTTTTGTTGTGATTATATAATATAAATTGAATTGATATTTATAAAGATATATTTTAGTTTGCTTACTTGGTTATTTTCTTAGAAATGAAAACCAATGCTAAAGTTAAATTGAGAGCCATATAAAAATATTTATTGTTTACTTCTTAATGCATTGCAGAGCTAATTAATTATCAATCATAGACACTGGATTGATTTAGATTATTCCAATGTACATAAAGTGTGCACTCTAATAATATGTTGAATGTTGTTCACGTTGTCTGACTTTGCGTCCGGTTTCCAGATCTACTACCATGGTGAGGCCCTAAAAGTGCACGTCACCGTCACGAACAACTCCAGTAAAAACGTCAAGAACATCATCATCTCTGGTAAACCTTATACTTACTGAGGACATTCATTAGAAACTGTAGCATGAAGACATATGAGTTATATTTGCATGAAGACTGTAGAGTATCTAAATGCCTGCTGTAAACGTACTCTGTCATGTTTTCAGTGGATCAGGTCGCCAATGTGGTGTTGTTCTCCAATGACAGCTACGTCAAATGTGTGGCCATCGAGGAACCTGGGTATGTGAGAAAAAACTAAATGCTTATTGCCCAACAGCATGGTAGAAGCAGTGATTTTTAAGGTGGAACTGCTTTATTCTGTGTTTTTACTGGTTTTAATCAGCGGGTCCGTTTGTTTTGGAGAGGAGGAGACCTCTGTGGATAACTGCACCTTCTGGTAGCAACTAATGAAATCAAGGAATTATAGAATTTTTCTGCAGTTTACTGAAAACTCAAATTAGGATTTTTCTATCCACCCAGAAAACAGCGTGCATTCACAATGCTGTCGTCATTTTCCGTGATCCACTGTGGGTCAGGATCTCTCTCACAACACAATCTAACGGCATCCATAAGATCATAAAGACAGGTGCACTTATGGCGGAGCTTTTTTGATTTACAGGTGGAAACAAGTACATTGAGTTAGGAGAAGTAGCTTTTCCTTTACAATCAAAGGTATTTTTAATTACCAATTACTAAATAATTAGTAGCATATCCACAAGATTTTAAGTTGATTATTCTACTCGTAAAAATTTACTTGTTCCAACTAACCCTTTTCCCATGTTATTTATGTAAACACAACTCTCTAAAGTTTGCAACTTAAAAGCTTTATCTAAATCAATAAATTAGAAGTTTTATCTTGCAACCATGCATTTATTTAAATGGTGACAACACATCCACTGAATTGCTTTTTAGAGTGGAGGAGGGAGGATACACAAATCCTTTGCAGAAGTGAAATATACAAACCATGGTGGGATTGCTCTATAAATGTATTGATAAGTTGTATTATTTATTGATGGTGATGAAACCTTCTGTCCTTTACTGTTTGTGTAGCGCCTCGTAAGGCACTGCTGTAACCACTTTCCTTAATGACATTTCACCTTCATACAGGTAGTTACTATAGTAACGCCCTAAAAAATCCTCAAATACAGACACACACATATTAATAGACGGTTAATTAACAGTGTTATGAGTCGGTGCTTAATTCAGCATATATTTAATCCAGTCAGCACTTATTTCGGTGAGAAATAATAAATTATGAAATGGTCTGCTTCTCATTCCTGCGGTCTTCTCCTACTTACAACCGAGCGGTGTCTTCTATAGTTGAGGTGACAAAATCATTAAAAACGTTGTAAACTGATGCCGAACTGACAGCCAGACTGTGGACATATGATGCACTTTAGCTTGTGTTAAAGTTACGCGTCGTTATGGACACGTTGTGAATTGTTAAAATTATTATTTACTATTTCTTAAAGGGAGTTTGGCGTAATGACAAAAAAGTGCAATAAACAGATATATAGGGAAAAAGCAGCTTTATTGGTCATGAAATTTTAAAAATGATGATCAATATTGTCACATTATGCCATGTTGTGAATTGAATATAATAGTTGTCATGGACACTGTTATCTGACAGAGATCATAAAATACGGCAGTATTCTATAAGAAAACAATGGACAGACCATGCAGCTGAAGCAAGGATGTCTCTTGTGCTTGTTGCGTCGACTCCTCTCTCCTCTGTGTCTCTCCTCTCTGGTGGGAGGGAAGATGAGAGGAGAGGAAACAAGGATGTACAAACTGTAAAAGGAGAGCAGCCCACTGTTAACACTCAGCCTGCCAACTCAGCTGACAAAGCTCCGCCTCCTTGAGACACACCAGGAGGATGTTGTTGAGAGATCTCAGTACACGATAAGATTCATGATTGGACCAAAACCACAACTCCCAGTGACAGAAGAGAGCGACTCAGGAGTAACACTGGGAATACTGGAATACTTTCACTTCAACCTGCTGTTGACCTTACATAAATAATGAGAGCTTTATAACAAAGACTGAAAGTGAAAGTAAGTTTCTTGGAGGAGGGAGTGGCACAATGACTGACTGTTTTTGAGGCTGAGGTGTCTGCCTGCTGCGTTTTCAGCTGCACTCAGAGACAAAATGGCTTCCAGATTAGAGGAGGATCTCTGCTGTCCTGTCTGCCACGAGATCTTTAAAGATCCGGTCATCCTGTCATGTAGCCACAGCTTCTGTAAAGTCTGTCTGCAGAGCTGGTGGGTAGAAAAGGTAATTCACAGTTGTCCAGTCTGCAAGGAAAGATCGCCAAAGAAATTCCCTCCTTCTAACTTGGCTTTAAAGAACCTGTGGTGAGAGTTTCTTAATCAGGAGAGAGATCAGAATCTTCAGAGGCTCTCTGCAGTCTGCACTCTTCTAAATACTCTTCTATCTGGACCCATCCAGCAGCACGTGTGTGTTATCTGAAAGACCAGAGATTCAGAAAAACACACCAAACCACAGATTCAGACCCATCGATGAAGCTGCACAACAACACAAGAAGGAACTTCAGGAAACTCTGGAGCCCTTAAAGGAGAAGTTAAAGGTTTGTGAAGGAGTTAAAGTGAAGTTGAAAGTGAAACAGCAAAACACATGATGCTTAGGTGCTTACCATACTTTACAAAGCTTTGTGGGTCAAACAAGGTCCTTCTGCTGCTGTTCAACTTGTGGGTTTGGTGGGAGGGGCTTAGCGAAGTGATACAAGGTAGCAGAGAGAGACAGAAGGTTTTGTATTGTGTATGTTAAAACTGCCTAGCCCAGCTTAAATAATCAATAAAATATTGTATGTATCATAAAATGGTAAAAAAAAACAAACCCTCTCAGTCTCTAAGAGTCTGATGTGACGTCTTTAAATGTTTTTCAAAACCCAAAGATATTCAGTTTACTCTGATATAAAACTGAGACACTAGAGAGGCTGGAGCCATTGAACTCCACCATATTAATTAAAGCTCCATTGACATCACTGTAAAATAATATTCATTGGTATGTTTTCACGAGTGCACAATCACCTGATAATAAAAATCGTTGTGTTTTCTGAACATGAATTTGGAGTTATTAAAAAAATAAAAAGTCTTTCATTGCTGAACTTTGTATAACATTTATGGAACCAGAAAACCTTCATCATAAAAACATTTTCTGATCACTTTCTTTCCACATGTTTTATCCATTTTAACCCCCACTTGTATTCTACAAAGAACCTAAAAACTCTCACCAGTTCTTCACACCAATCAGAGGCAGAGGAGGGACAAACAGCAGGGGTGTCCAGACTCACCTGGAGGTGGCAGTACACCAAGGAAGGAAATCAGAAGTTTGGATCTTATTGAGTTTGTCTGAGATGCTCTTTGGATAAGGACGCGTGTGAACACATAAAGCACCAAAGAACTCCAAGACACCCTCTCTTTTAAACAATTAAAATGCTTTTACATTCATGATGTGGTAAAGTTAGACCTAAAAGCATCAAGCCTCCATCTCCATCCTCCGCTTCATATGGACAACTGACTCACTCATTCACCAACATCCTACTTACAGCTGCTGCAGCATCACTGGGCTGAGCAGGTTTCATCTGAGGGAGAAATATAATTATTTAATCTCAAAGTGTCATAATTCTCCCAGCCACTGACTCTTCATCAGTTCTCATCTACCTTCTGCATCAGGTGACACAGCAGCCGGGTTGAGCTGTTTACAGCAGAAATAAACATGTTTACTGCAGTAAACAAACATGTTTACAGCATCCATCATGGTTCTTACAGTATATGAGTATATGAATAGGTGATGCAGTTGATTCATTTTCGTCACACAAAAGGATGAATAATAAAGTTGTTAAAAAATGCAGAGCTAACACACTGTCCACTCAGTGTATGTGTTAATGTTGATAATGGACTCACTGTTCATTCACTCACAGAGTCCACCCCAGTGCAATACCATCGGTGGGCCAGCAGAGGTCACCATATTCCTGTAATATAAAACATATAAAGCCCTCATACAGTACTTTGCATTCATATTGTACAATACACAAAGTATCATGTTTAACCTGTGAGGAGGGCTGGTTGTCTTTACTCAGCTATCAGACTCACTGTAACGTAGTGCCAGTGCACACTGGGTAAAAAACGAAATATATCCGATTTATCAGTGATATATATATTATACTCCGTCCATAGGAATCATTTCACTTATTTTTTACACTCCTATGATCTGAATTATGTGAAATATATATAAAATATCTGCCACATCTCTCCACTGCAAATGTTAGAAGTGACAGAGATTTAAACATTTAAATATTATTCACTGATCAGACCGGAAACAGTAGGGTAAACACAGGTGACACTATAACACCAACAAAGGCTCTGTTCCATTTACTGTCGCAGAACATTTCCATTTACTAGTAACAGCATAGTAACAGCTGAGTTTACACTACTATTTCATGTATAAAATAAAAAATAAAAAATGTATAAATAAGCTGTATAATTGTAGTGCAAGTAAAAATAAAAATCTAAGGTGCAGTCAATCAGCTGACGGGGGGATGTAGACAGCGATAACAATGGTGGACGTGAACTCCCTCGGCAAATAATACGGGCGCATTCCCACAGCCAGCAGTTCAATGTCCGGGGTACAGAGACGTTCTTCACACTGACATGTCCGGCGATTGCACCACCTCTCACTGTCACATACAAAGTGCAAGCCTGCCACCCTTCTTTCTTGACGACTTGTGGAACAGTCTCTGTCTCCGCCACGTACCAAACTGTAACCGGGAAACCTCAACCGCTTGCTGTCCCGGGATGTGCGAGTGCAGCAAGTTTCACGTGAAGCAAAATAAGCTAACTCACGGTAAATTCCCCTCCCTGGGTTCCTTCACCAGCGTTGAAAGTTTCGTCCCATCTTATTCCCCAAAGACCCTCACGTTTCCCATTAAATAATCGCTGGGAAAAAACTGCTGGCTTGTGGTCTTCTTCCCTTTTCTCCCTCCGTTTGGTTCCAGCCCTGCAACCCAGGCGTCTCCCCCGTAACTCCTGTGGGAACGCAGTCTGTCTCCCGGCAGCAGCACCAGCTTACACAGGCGCAATCAGCTGTTCCGGCGTGTTAAACAATGCCCCCCACTACTTAACCGGCAAAGTTCTCGTGTTTACCAGAAATGTAAAAAAAGTAACCAGAAGAAGCGGAAAGAAAAGTAACAAAACTTAGTCCAGCCATTGTCCTCAACGTTTATGCACGGATTGTGATTAATTCTAAAAACAAAACGAGAAGACTGAAAACAACAAATAAACAAATATAAAAAACACGACGGGAGCTCTGGCTACTAGCTGCCGCCTGAGGCAGCGCCAAGTACCTCTAAATGTTCCAGGATGACAGATTATTTCCAGGATATTTGCTCATTTTAATTAATTTCCAGGTTTTCCAGGACCCTTAAGAACCTTGCTGGTCCTTTAAAAGGACAAAGTACTGACACCAATAACCAGTAACAGTTATCACTTAGCGGGACCATTAACGTTAGCTCAATGACAAACCGCCGGCCACAAACTTTAAGGTTGAAACTAGAAGCATTTTTATTACAGTAAATCACATTCAGTGTGCACGTGTGCGGATGGGTTCAGCTTACCTAAATACTTAGCTTATGCTCTTTCAGTCAACTCTCCTCTGTTAGCTAACACAGACTGAATGCTAACGTTGGCAGATGGCGTTTTTTTGTGTATATGTGTACTCAAGTTGAATCTCAAAGGATTCTCAAAAGAATTTCCAATAAGATAAAATGACCAGTACCTCTCTTTCATGCCATTTCTGCCAGTATACCTGAATGTCTAAGTAATGTTCAATAACAAAGAACATACGATATCAGAGCTACTGACTAACCAACAGACTGCGTTTAGGATCCAGGGAATGTTTTACATCAGGACGACTTCACACTGGAGTATAAACATGTTTATTATCCGTGATTCTGACAGGAAAGTGGTTCATTGCATATGACTCACATTATATCATTCTTAAAACAAGGTTTTACAAAACTAAAAAATATACTCAAATATCAACATTTTCAACATCTGCATATTATTTTTCACAGCTGCCATCTGATTCGCTAAATATTCAAACAGTTTATTCAGACACACTTTTCGTGGCAGCGACGCTGAAGGAACAGTCCCAAATTTTAGGAAGTCTTCGTTAGCCATCTTGGATCGGGTGCCCACTGTTATTGTACATCATTAAGAGAACAAGATTGTATTTTGTTGTTTCTCGTTAGCTAACCAGCTAGTCAGCATCCTGTCATCAGCTGGGTTAGCGGACAGTATTTGGACAATATCTATGTTCTCAGGGTCCCTAAGTTCCTTAATCCTTGGAACCAGTCTATGTGCTAAGCTAGGCTAAACACGTCCTGAACCTTTCTTATATCAATCTGGAGAAGATCAGAGAGGATTTACTGAAATGGTGGACCGTTCCTTTAACCTCATTATCAACAGCAGTAGTGCACCGCCAGTAAAAACTAAACAAGTGATTAAAACAGTCAAATTAAATCACTGCAATACAACATTGTGTACTTGAAAATGACGTTCAGTAACGTGCTAATTCAGTGCTGCCTGTGGTAATAAGCGGATAATGTGGCATCAGACGAAGTATGGATTCACACTCAGTGTAATGGTGGACAGTAAGGTGCACAATGTCGAGTAAATACGGAACATTTGTGGACACAGGCTACAACAATTACATGATTTTGTGCCAGTTGATGGTTCCTAAGACATCAACCCCTTTTGCTCTGTGCTCCAATCACAGATGAACAAGCCTCGGTCAACTTCCTCCTTTCCTGTACTTAGATATGCTATATGCTATGCTAATTTAGTTGAAAAGAAAACCACATTATGAAGATGGTTCAATCTCCAGTGTGTAACATTACTGTAATATAATATTCATTGTTTTTATCAGTGTTTAATCACCTGAAAATAAGAATCGTGTTTTTGTTCAGAATGAGACGTTTTTATCTGCGGCTCTGCGGGTCGCTTTCTTTAGATGGTACTAAATCCCACAAAAAAAGAGACACATCTTAAGTTAGCTAATGTTAGCAAAACAGTAGCTAACTAGCTAGCTAATATATATCAATTGTTAAGTAGCTAGTAAGCTGGCTAATGAGCTATTTAGCTAGTGTTTTGCTAACATTAGCTAACTTAAGAAGTGACTTTATATGTCTCTTTTAACCATCTTCAAAATGTATTTTTAACCCAGACAAGGCTAGCTGATAGCATATGTACAGGACTAAGTACTGTCAAAGGCATAAAAGAGCCCCAAATCCACCTAAAAAGTTTGAGTGTTGTGTTGTCTTTTATTGTCCGGTCCAAACATAAATATATGAAACTCAGGTGCTCAGAAGAGCAGGGCATGCTAACAGGAAGTGCTGACTGAATGGAAATAAAGCAAATGCATGTGTTAATATTCCAAAATACATGAAGCTGATAACTTAAGAAATGGAGTGCTGTGATAATTCTGTTGATGCTGCTTGTGTAATATTTGATAGTAAAAGTCAGGTTAAGTTGATTCGAGTCGGGTTGATTTAGGTCGAGTCAGGTTAGATCAAATAATGTCAGACTGAGTCGAGTCAGTCAGGTCGAGCTGAAATAAGAGACCACGTTCACATTGTTTTCACATTGTTTTCACATTGTTTTTCCACATTTCATAGAATATATATTTTGGGCACTTTAAGCACTCATCTGATAGGACATGGTTGCGGCAGAAGAAACATCATCTACTGTGTGTCAAACACACACACACACACAAACAAACAAACACACTTCCATCATTGACAATGTCCTGGCTAGACTGCACGCAGTCTGTAGCGGAAGCGTACGTCTGTAGAGGGCAAAAGGATGCCCAGTCCAGCTCTGCCAGAGTCCACAGTGACTCTGCTCTGACCTTCCTCCAGCTGCAGGTCGAAGTAGAGCAGCAGGAGACACAGGAACTGTTTGATCTCGTTGACCGCAAAGTATCGACCAGGACACATGCTGGAGCCAGAGCCGAAAGGCATGCGGTAATACTTGAGCTTCTGCCCGTCCTTGTAGAAGTCTGTCTTCTCTCTGCCGTCCTGGATGTAGCGGTCGAGCCGGAACGTCTGACGGTACAGAAACAACAATGAAGGTTTGTTAAACAGCTCTACTAAACACAACCTTGACGCACCATGTCTATGCTGTAGACGCATTATAAGAACACCACAAGTTTCCTATCTTTCAGGTTTACTTCTGTGTTCAATTCAATTCAATTTTATTTGTATAGCGCCAATTCATAACAGAAGTTTATCTCAGGACACTTTTCAAATAGAGCAGGGCTAGACCTGACACTCCTTTGTAACCAGTTTACAGAAGACCCAAGCAGTACCACCTGATCGAGCAAGACCTTGAGAAAGGGGGCAAGGAACAAACTGCCTGGCAGAAAACCCCTAGGAACAAGGCTCCTTCGGCTCAGGCGCGGTGGGTCATCTGCCTCACCAGTTGGGGGGGTGAAGAGGAGAGAGAAGAAGAGAGAGAGTGACAGACAGACGCCCACAGCAAACAACAGTAGCACAAACAACTACACTGATCGACACTAAATGACATGAAAGTTATGGCACATGCTCCAGTAGTGTTTCCCCCTCCCACATCCTGCCCAGCAACCAGTCAGCCCATCACGAACCAATTACATTGGAATGAAGTCATGCTGAATAAAACAGTTTTTTATGAGCCTCTGACAACAAGTTTTTACCGAAATACGAAAAACCTTCATTCCTTCAACCTTGCTTGTCTTGTACATCCTCGCCGAGTTACTCGACAACATATCTTTATCAATCGAGGTCTGTGCGGGCGGGAAATTCTCCTTTCTTTTGCCATTGATGGTCCTGGGACAAAGGGACACCAAGGCTGACTCTTTTTAGTTTCTTTTAAGAGTAATCGTTGGTATTTTTCCACACCCTAACTCCTACTTCCTATGGCGGCTTCTCCGACCACTTCCTGGCTCTTTGCACGCGCTAATCTGAGGGGACTAATGCAGCCCCACCCAAAAGTGCCGCCCCACAACACAAGTAGTGTTGTTCTGCGACCCCACTCAACAGTCAATCTCTGTTCGTTCGTGTTGCCCACTAACAGCTATGTGTTCTTTCGCTTCCCAACTAACACAGTAGGTGCTGTTTCGTCGTCGTCAACTAACCCAGTAGTTGCTTGCTCTTGTTCCACTACACAGGTAGGTAGTTTGCTCTTCCACCTCACAGACCTCACCTTCACAGTTCTGTCAGTGATGTGACACCCATTATCCGGCAAAGGATCCCTAACCAGAGAATAAGATTTCCTAGTTTCAGCACCACCAAAAGCCGTAATACTGCACTATCACTCTCCACCAGAACTCCAGAGACACAAACACTCCATTTTACCTCGATAAGCACACAACCACAACAGGTGTTACTTGGGGCATGGGGTTGGGTTAGTTTGTTCTACTTCTCTATTGTGCTGACTCTGCGTGCTTATGTATGTTTGGAGTTATTTCCCAACATCACACATGTCGACCAAGATGTCGACCACGCAAAAACATAGGACAAATAAGGGGTCCAGTTGAAAAAAAAACATCTTTACATTTCGCATTCTGGTCACCGCAGCGTTCTCCTAGTTGCTGTAACTTCCAGGTAAAACACAGGAACAATCAGCAAGAGCCGAGGAAAGGTGACGTTGACTTAAACCTTCCACGCTCAATCCCTGGATTTTGATCCAGCAATCGTGGGGCTGTTTTACACAATAGAAGAGAAGAACTCCCATTACCCACGCTACACTTCATAAAATCATTGAAATCACACATCTTTTGCGATGTTTCTTGCCCCTAGTGGCAAAAATCCTACATACTGTAGGTTTAAAGTAGCTGTAGCTGTTGCCACTCGTACCTGTGGCTCCTCGTAGATCTCGGGGTCCATGTGCAGACTCTGAGGGTAGAGGGCGATGATGTCTCCTTTCCTGATGGCCACCGAGCGCTCGCTGTCCAGCCGCAGACTGAAGTCCTCCTGAGCAACACGCATGTTCATGGAGGCCGAGGACAGACGGAGGCTCTCGTTGATGGTGCTCTCTGTGGACAAAGCCAGGGTTGTTATTCATGAAGCTTTTCACAACAGGAAGTCAGTCCTATCACATTCCCATAAACATATTCCTACTGTATATCTGTGTATGGTTTAATAGCGAGTTCCAGAGGAAACTAGCATACCCAGATACAGAAGCTTGTCCAGCTGTTCTCTGCTGAGCGTCACATCTTCATCTCTGTTGAACTCGACTCCGCTGAGGTTCAGGACGTGCAGGACCTCCTGGCGGACGACCTCCAGGGCCTCAGGATGACTCACCAGGTAGTACATGGCCCAGAAGGAGGCAGGGATGGTGTTTCCGACAGACGCCCAGAGAATGGCGAAGTGATGAGCTGAAAGTCAGGAGGGGGCAGGGGGGACAAAGAGTCATTCACCCTGCTGAGACAAAAATTGCCAGGATACAGGATGCCCCACTTTCACCCAAACCTAGGCCCCGACTCTCCATGGGGATCACCAGGAGCGTCAGGCCAGAATTAAAACTGCAACATGCAGACCCTCAGACCCCCCCCCGCCTGCTTCTAACCTCATGGTATGATCTCTGTGTTACAATACAGCTGACCTCTCACCAAGACTTACAGCTCAGCCAGACCTCGAACTAAACATTCATCCCACCCAGACATGTCTTCCCCACAAATCACTTACAGCTCACCCACATGTCTCTCTGCATGTATACCTCTGAGACTGTGGAGCAGAGTGGAGCAAAGAAGAATAGAAGAATATGGTAGAATATAGTGTAAAAACAGAGGACAGTAAAATAAACTAGATTAGAACACATGAAGACCGCATTTAAATCAGGATCAAATGTTGAAATTTCAGAATCACTGAAGGAGGAATCTAACTTCAGAAACCCCAAATCAGAACCAGACACGCAACCACTTAAGAGCCGTGTTGGAGGCTTTGTGGTGACCTGAAGGCAAACCATGCTCATGTTTTCTGGGGTTGCACAATATGCTCTTCCAACATCTGTTCTGAATGATTTCCTGGAAACACTGAAAAGCTTTTACAGGAAATTACAGGAGTTTGAAAAAGTAGCTTTTACATTTTTTGCAATTTAGCAGGAAGTAAATTCTAGGCGAAAATGGGCATGGCCTACACAACAAGATTCAGGTCAATTCAGGAAATTAATGGATATAATGTTTTTGAATGTCCGATGTCGTATGTGAGAGTTATCATCCAATACGCATTTTCCTTGATACAGCACCACCTGCTGGTGGACATCACTGTTCTCACGTCTATAGCTCTTACTGTGTAGGCTGCAGTACTGGAATTACCAACGGAAGAATAACAATACAAATCTGAGAGACTTCAAAGGGGTTCCTTCACATCTGACTTCAAGATATCTTTTTATGATTAAAATGACTCCAAATGACTTTGCATCTCTCCACCATATGACCTTTTTTCAGGAGCCCCTTTAAAAATTGTGAGTATTTGCCCCACTTTGCTTCATATAGATCCAGTCTACCCAGTTGTTTTATATGACATTTTTTCGAATGCTGCAACTTGTGCCATCTCCACAGCCCACTCTTGAAGAGAGGAGGGCTCCCCCTCCGTCTTCCATCCGCTAAGTATTTGTCTGCCAGTCAAATACTGGTGTTGGACATAACTTTTGATATGTTTATCCTGTCCTGTCAGAACTTGGGCGAATGATCACCCAAAATAAATAATCTAGCGCTAAATGGCATTTGTATCTCTGTAATCTCACACAAATTATCATAAATATTGGTCCAGTATTGTTGGACTTTATCACATGACCATAAAACATGAACTAAACTAGATTACCTTCCTCAGATTTGCATCACAACAGTTTGATGTGGGTAATAATCCTAATCGAAATAATCTGGAGGGAGTCCAATAAAAACGATGTATAATTTTGAATTGAATAAGACGTACTCTTGCATCCCTTGAAACTACTTTAACATTTTTACAAATTCTGTTCCAATCTTCATCATTAAATGTCAGGTTCAGATCCCTTTCCCATGTCTTCTGCAGAGCTGAAATGTGCCCGTTGCCAAGAGTCTGAATCATCATAGAATAATAGACGGCTGCCTCGTGTCCTTTTTTGTAACTCTTATTATTATTATTATTATTAACTCTTATCAATTATATTGCTGCAACTGTCGACTGGGCGTCAGACACCGACCACATGACATCAACAAGGCGTCTAATATTATCTGAGGAGCTACGACCACGAATGAATCCAACTTGATCAGTATGGATCAATGATGTAATTACACTGTCTAATCGGTTTGCTAAAATCTTCGAAATTATCTTGACATCTATTTGCATTAGTGAAATAGGACGGTAATTCTTGCACTCATCCAAATCTTTACCTTTCTTAAGACTAATAAGGCCTGTCTCAGAGTTGGTGGGTGAGTATACCCTCTCCAGCTGCTTCCTATACACCGTCTAGTAGAGGTGAAGCTAGCTCTGTCGCAAAGCTATTAAAAAATTCCCCAGTAAAGCCGTCGGGCCCAGGTGCTTTACTTGAAGGTAAAGCCTTGATCACCCCTTTAATCTCCTCAATAGTAATATCTAAGTCTAGAAAATCCCTCTGTTCATCTGTCAATTTTGGAAGTCCTAGTGGTTCTATAAACTTATGAA